GAGAATAGCCTGTAAAATGTAAACTGTTGTATCAAAATGTTGAAGATCAATCAATGTTATAATCATTGAAACAATCTCGAGCAAATTGCTGCTTAATTGATCCTTTAAAAGAACAGACAAGGCCATCTGCAGCTAAAGTTGAGCCGCCACCTATCTTATCAATCTCCATGAACTAAGCAAATATAACACAAGGGATTAAACTATTGATCAAAATTCTTTCAGCCATGTGACTATTTAGAATCATAATTTACTCCCAACTCATATTTAGCTACAAATCATACAGATACCAAAACACAATAAGGAAAGCTTTCTGATTTTTGCTCTCAGAACATCAGACTACTGTTACCGTTTCAAAAAGAGACAAGATGCATAGTCCCCAGTATGGAGAGATTCTTAAAGCATGTTGATAGGCCCCAACTAGATTCATTCAAGGCCATAGAAAAATGAAGGGAAGAAAGGCAGAGAAGAGTCATGGACCCACTGAATAACAACTCACAAGGGAAAGAGCTCGGGCTGGAAAGCTCAGTTTTGTGTAATCAAATATTTGGTTCAAGTGTAGTACGGGTGAAAGCCAGCTATTGGGTGAAACCTGTAAGAACGAGGAAGAGCCCCGGGCAGGCACATGGGGTACAGATTTAGTTGGATCATGAGGCCTAGGAATCCTTTTGAAGGTGAGGAGTACCTGGTTGTGGGGCATGTAGTATTGTTCTGAGGGGTAATATGTTCCCTTTCCCCTGTAATTAAATTTACAAGCTCACGCATATCAAGATATTTTCCTATTTTTATCTTCTGCCAGCATCGCAGACTGTAGAAACTCAATAATTTGCATGCCTCTTCCAGCTACAGCAATTTGATAATGGTTCCTGTAGAAAAATAAAGCCAAGAAACGAGGGTGGATCAAGCTAATGTAATGACAAGTTTCATCGGGTATATTGAATTAAGTATCCACTAACCTGTCACAGACTCATCAATGGTCTCCGGTTCTGGCACAGTAATGATCAAATGTGTATACTCACCATTTTCCCCTGTGCCTCGAGTTTCCAACACCTGATCCTTTGATCGAGACCGGTTGAAAACACCCAAATCCCATCTGTCCAGACACCTACACAGGACAAAGAAACAATTCACGCCAGATTGATGGACATTGGTTAGAACATGAATAGGCTGTATTTCACTGGTCTCAGAGGAAGAATTGCTGGTGCTTAAAATTAGTTCAGAAGAGGTAGAACAAACAGGTTGAGAGCAAGCTGAATCGGCTATGGATATGTCCACTTTGGATGAGCTTTCGTAAGGATCTTGATTTTTTATGCTTAAGTTGGCATTGTCTGCCCCTTTCTTAGTAACCAAATCTTTGATTGGTCGACTTTTGGTCACGGCACTTAAAGATCTCCCCCGTCTGCCACCCTGGCTTCCTCTTCCTGTACAAGGCCATTTCTGAAAATCAATGAACATCTCCTGATGAAGAGTAGAGAGACATTTCAGGATTTACGCTAGATGCAGCCGTGGCTTCATCTTTCCTTGTATTGAATGAATTTCTATGGAAAGTCGAATTCTTGGTTGGCATATCAGTAGAAAGCCACTTGAAGGAAATTGATGAGACAAATCCAGAGGGCTCGCAAATAACTTTGCAATTATGTTGTAAACAACCATTTGTTTGTTCCATTTCCTCCAGGTTCCTATGCTTCTGTAGCCAAGAAGTTAATACCCGCTTCGCACCAGCTGAAATTAGTAAAGTAGGATCTTCACTATCGTCTGAGTCGGATTCTTGTATATCTTTTACATCAGGTACAGTAGTCTCATCTGATGAAATCAAGTGTACTTTCGATATGTAGCATACGGATCTCACAGCTGATCCCCCAACATGCTCCCCAAGCAAATTTGAAGCAGACCAATTATTGGTGTCAGGAGTATACCTGTAACATCGTACAATTGCATCAATTACAGGCTCCTTATCAGTCTTAACACTACTTTCTGGAACAAGGAAAACTGAAAGGTAATTTTCTTTTCTTTAATAAGATGGAGATCTACAATACATGCGGTAAACATGTCCAATGCCTTAGCAGTTGGCAGATTCATCAGATATTTACTGATTCATTTTTTTAATGTCGAGTCAGATGCTAGAGATAAATAATAAGAACAACAACACTAAAAATGACATACCTAGTCATCCTCACAGTTCCATCTTCACAGCCAGTTGCAATCCAGCTAGATCTGGATGAGATGCCATGCTTGTTGTCAACTTTAGGTGTACAGTTTTCAGGTATGAAGCACAAAGAATGCAACTCTCTGCCATGAATTGTACGTGCAAATTTTGAGAAAACACTTTTCTTTCACTGTCTGAAAACCAATAGCGATGAATATAGATCATTTCATCCTGAATTAAAAACAAGAAAAATGATAAACTCCCAAGAGAAGTTATCAATATCAGTAAAAAAAGGAGATGACAGAAATGAATGGGGACTTGACATATGCAAAACATTTCTTAAGTTGTGGTATGTCACCAAGATAATAAGAATACGGACGCCGCCATCCACCACATTGAATTTGTAATACCTGCTCCGATCCATGTTGTTTGAGATCCAAAGGGAATTATAAATGCAGTGCATGAAAAGATGGTTCAAGCCGTCTCAATTACATTGGCACGTAATGCACCACACCAATGGGGTCAAAGACCACAATTGAGGCTGTTTGAATAAAGTCTAATGCATTGATCATAAGGCCAATTCTAAAACATGACATCATCAATGGAAGTAACTCTGCAATTACATGGTATTTAGAAAAGGGAAAATGTACCTCTTCCTCAAATGACGCATCCAAACACATAATCCTCATGCCAAAGCATGATGTATATTCTTCCATAAGACATGCATTATAATTTTTGCCATTCTGAGAAAACCTGATACATGATCATATAACCTCCAGAGTTTCAATACGCCTCTAGGATCAGCAGTAAATATGTACCTACAAAATAAATAGAAAGAAGTTATATCCAGCAAATGATATTTAAACCCCTCTCTGCCGTTCTTGTCAAGGGTACAAGGTTCTAAAATATTGCCACATTTTTTAAAGAAATTGAGGGATGTCCTTCAGACTTCAAAAAAAAAAAAACATTGCACAATTAAATTTCCTTAGAATGTTTCCTTCAGACCATCAATCAGTCTCATGAGGATCTCATGTCTGGGGAGCTTCAAATGAAATAATGGATTCAAGGTTCTGTAAAACATGAATCTATGTCCAACCACAGCTTATATAAAGATCTCAGCTGGTGGTTCCACCATTATCAAGTTGAAAAAAGGAAATGGTGCTAACCTGAATCCAAGTGACTTGCACCAAAAGGTTCCGAACAGTTGTCTCTCCATTTCAGCTGACCAGTTAAATGAGATGTCAGGTTTAAGGGCATTTGAATTGCGTAGAACTTTTACAACTGTCATTCGTCCTTGACCATCTCCAACAGCAATCCAATCCTCAGCTCCACAGGAAACTTCAGACAGACTTGGGGCTAATAAATCCATGCAAACAATCGGAACATCTTCGCTTACTTGCACAAGTTTGGTCCAAATTACATCCATGGTGTCAGATACTGTGACACGATACAGATAACCACGGTTGGTGGCAACATAGAGTGTAAGTTCAGACGAGAACTGTAAGCAGCGCACATACTCACTTTTACTGCAAATGAAAGTAAGATCATATAAAGGGAGTGGTTGTCACTCCCACCCTCAGAAAATAAAAGCGAGGAAATAAATTGAAATTCAATGATGAGTATATCTACAAGAAATCTTGAAGGAGCTCTCTGGAAAATGAACCTCACCTGTCCATACGTCCGTTATGATCAAATGAATTTGGAATACAACTAGTGAAAACCTCTGCACTTTCAGCAGGTTCATTGGAGGTCACAGATAAAGAAGTGTTTAGCCGATGCACTTTAATAGAAGAATCAAAGCCAGTAGTAATAAGAAGAGATGACATTGGATCATACAAACATCTCCATACGCCTCTGCCTGTGTAATAAATTAAAAAATAGAACTTAAACCCTTGAATTTTGCAAGTTGAATCATTTAAACCGGAAATAGAGAGAGAAAAGGAAGCAACTAAAATGGGAATCTGGTATTAGAGGAGAATCAAAATATATGTGTTTAGCAAGTATTGATAAAAAATTTGAGGTAATGGACCAGCATAAAGTACACCAAAGCAAACTATATGAAACTCTAGTCAAAACAGAAAAGTTTTCGCAGCTCACATATGCTCCTTTATCGTCTCCAGTTGTTTGCCATCTATTCCCCATGCACGACACGTACAATCCTCACCGGCTGTGATTATCAACTACAAGGATAACCCAAAAGAACAGTCAGTGCATGTACAAGATTGTTGGATCGATCCAATTGAACCCATATTGGCACCAACTTTACGTGCATTACGACTCCTCAGGATGCAACCACGAAGAAAGAGACTTGTAACGAACGCACGACAGCCCGATGAAACGAACATTACCAGACTGGATAGTTTCTAAAAAGGTCACCTAGAGATATATTTTGAAGTTCTTGTATGTACAAATGCGGGGATAGCTCAGTTGGGAGAGCGTCAGACTGAAGATCTGAAGGTCGCGTGTTCGATCCACGCTCACCGCATTTATTTTTTTTTTTTTGTAATTTTTGATCTTGTTTTGTATCTGCTGGTCATGGGCCGCTATTTGGACCGCGTGTAATACCTTTTGTGGGCCGTGAAATGTGAAAACGCCCCAATTTGTCTTTTTCCTTTTTTTTTTATTTTTTTTATTTTTTACTTATTATTATTGTTATTATATTTTTAATAAATATCAATTTATACCAAACTTTTATTTCTTTTATAATTACTTGTTTTATTGTTATTATATTTTAAACAAATATCAAATTACAAGTATAATGAAATGTTTATTATATTTTTAACAAATTACATACACGTGTTACCACATATTATATATAATGAAATGTTTATTATATATACAAATAAAAGTTGAGGAAAACGACAAAAGTTTAAATTTCCCGACATTGATATTGAAGCCTGTTTGGTTCCCCACATACACTACATAAATAACACCACATACTTGAAGCAGCATTGACCTAGTTTTTTTCTAATTACTATTAATTAAAATATTGCATTTCCATTGGTTTATAAATATAGCACCTGCAACCTTTATATATATTAGAGAGAGAGGAGACCTAAAATGATCTGACAAAAGCATGAGGAAACAATCTTGGCAGAAGTGAGTACTTTGTCTTCACAATCAGTGCATATATCCCATAACAGGGGACGTGAATCACTGCTAAACCAATGTACCTGTAGGGAAAATGTCACACTTATCAAATGTATCTATGTTATAAAGGTATTATCGTAATCTATTAGCTTAAGTTTTTGAGTTTAGAACTAGCTTAACACGTTTAAGATATGTACATTATCATTTTTGTCGAGAGCCGCTCTCTGGAACTTGTGCTAATTTTTTATAACCAAAAGTGAGGGGAATGTACTATCAAAACAAATCATAACTTATGCTTTGAATACATCTCCATTGGTACGAGACCTTGTGGAGAAATCAAAAGTAAAGTCATGAGAGTTTATGCTTAAAGTAGACAATATTATACCATTATAGAGGCTCGTAATTTCTAATATGGTATTAGAGTCATGCCCTTTAACTTAGCCATGTCAATAGAGTCCTCAAATGTCGAACAAAAAAGTTGTGAGCTTTGAAGATGTAGTTAAAAGTGACTTAAGTGTCGAACAAAGGGTGTACGTTGTTCGAGGGCTCCAGAAAATGAGTCGAACCTCGATTAATGGGAGGTTGTTCGAGGGCGCCATAGGCCTCAAGGAGGCACTATGGTGTAATTTGTTCGAGGGGAGGATTGTTGAGGATGGTTTGGAGAGGAGTCCAACATCGGCTAATTAAGGGTTGACCATGAGTTTATAAGTGCGAAATACATCTCTATTGGTACGAGACTTTTTGGGAAAATTAAAAGTAAAGCTGAGAGCTTGGAAAGGGGTGGTTTGTAATACATGGGTGGTAGCAAAGTATGAATTCTATGTTGAAGTTCCTACCATGTAATTTCTTCACTAGTGTTGCATTATATATATATTTATGTGTGTGTGTATATGTATGTAATGATATCAAAACAAATCCTAACTTGTCAGCTCAAGTTTTTAAGTTTAGTGGCAATTTAACGAGAGAGTCACAGCTTACCAAAGAGGAGCCCAAGGTGTACTGAGCTCAAGGAAAGGATACGGCCACCTGAGGTAAGTTAACAGAACTCTATTATTTTCACTCTTTTGAAAGATACTAAAAGGAAAATCAAGAAGACGAAGCAACTGCATACCAATTTACACAGCACATGTGCACGGTCCATTGGAAGGCGATGTAGAGACCGCCGAAGGCCACGAAGTATGCAAAACCACCCAAAGGAAATGACTGCAAAAGCGCAGCATCTCGGTTGAGCATGGACAAGAGATTATGATGAAGTTTTGTTCCTTCTTGAACGTGTGATACTTACAAGGCTATTGAGAGCAGTGTCTCCAAGAAGAAAAACAGCATTCAGAGCGTGTATGCTACCAATCAACTGCCAAGAACAAATAGACAAAAGGAATGGAGGTGAAGTATGCAGTGGAAACTAGAATGTTGCACTATATTAGTGTAAAATGAAGAGAGTTTTGAGGGATCAAACTGTTGTTCTATTAATCTCATTGAACATAATTGTAAGCTCAACAAAAAGTATGCATTAGTTTAGCAATGTCAACGAAGAGAATGGTCTAAACAAACGCACTCTATATAACCTAAGTCCACCGCTAGCAGATATTGTCCGTTTTGGCCTATTACGTATCGCTGTCAGCCCCACGGTTTTAAAATGCATCTACTATGGAGAGGTTTCCACGCCCTTATAAGGAATGATTTGTTCCCCTCCCCAACTGATGTGGGATCTCACAATCCACCTTCCTTGGGGGTCCAGCGTCCTCACTAGCACACCACCCGATGTTTGGCTCTGATACCATTTGTAACAGCCCAAACCCATCGCTAGCAAATATTGTCCACTTTTACTCATATGTATCGCCGTCAGCCTCATGGTTTTAAAACACGTCTACTAGGAAGAGGTTTCAACAACCTTATAAGGAATGTTTCGTTCTCCTCTCCATCCAATGTGAGATCTAGCCGAATCAAATTGACTAAGGAAAGTTAATACACACCAGGCTGACTTGGAAATTTTCACCAAGTAGAAATGGCACGAGAAGGCACCAAAACACTACGTCGGTTAATACAGAAGCACCTGCTGCTGCCTGCAAATGCATAAAAAGCATAGGTCATGCAAAAGTTCATAGAAAGAAGGAGAAAACGAGTGCAATGAGGCACGTATTTATATAGTATCTTTTAAAAGAATGAGAAACAACTTTCATTAGTAATGAAATAATACAAAAGAAGAGACAAGAAATCCTCACGAAACCGCCTATGAGCTTACAATTTGGCGTAAAGATCAAAAGAGGGAACTTAGAGAACTCTTTACAGAAAGAAATTCAACTTGATGAGTCCAATTTTTCTATTTTCATGAGCTATGATGTATCAACCAATCAATTTAGAATGAAGTATTATATATTGAGGACAAACACATATCTCATAACATATAACAACCCTATCCCACCGCTAGCAGATATTGTTCGCTTTAGCCCGTTACATATCGCCGTTAGCCTCGCATTTTAAAATGCATTTGTTTGGGAGAGCTTTCCACATCTTTATAAGAAATGTTTCGTTCCCCTCTCCAACCGATGTGGGGATCTCACAATCCACCCCCCTTGGGGTCCAACGTCCTCACTGGTACATCGCCCAGTGTCTGACTCTGGTACCATTTATAATAATCCAAGCCCACCGCTAGCAAATATTGTCCATTTTAGCCCGTTACGCGTCGCCGTCAACCTCACGGTTCTAAAATGCGTCCATTAGGGAGAGGTTTCCACACCCTTATAAGGAATGCTTCGTTCCCCTCTCCAACCAATGTGGGATCTCATAATCCACTCCCCTTGGGGGCCAGCGTCCTCGCTGGCACACCACTCAGTGTCTAACTCTGATACCATTTGTAATAATCCAAGCCCACCGCTAGCAAATATTGTCCATTTTAGCTCATTATGTATCGCCGTCAACCTCACGATTTTAAAATGCATCTATACGAGAGAAGTTTCCACACCCTTATAAGGAATGTTTTGTTCTCCTCTCCGACCAACGTGGAATCTCCTAACATATTGTGTTAAAAAGGTTGAGGAAGTACAAAAGATCATAGTGGAGAGAAAGGATTTAGAATGAACCAGATATGTCATTTGCATCAGAGTTCCTAAATATCCTGCTTTCTCCTGAAACTCCTGTTCAGCATATTTGTTTTGCACCTTGATGGTATCCACTTTAACCCTGTCTCCATTATTTTTCAAAGGTTTTTCCATGAGTTTAACATCCTCCTCATTTTTGGACTGGGTTTTCCTTGAAGGATACCAAAATCCATATGCAGATACAATGGTCCCCAGCTACAAATTACACGAGAACAAAAACTTCATAAAATTTTGCAGCCAAAGTAACCAATATCAAATGATTTGGAAGCAGTCTACACAAAACTTTAGGCACTATATTGAAAGTAAGCTATATAGACCAAATTCATAGCAGACATACCGCAAAATAGATAGCTACTAATGCCATAGTCCACCTAGAAAAACCAGTTTCACAAAAGAAACAGAACATTAGACAACAACCAGGAGCTCTAGCAGCAAACTTAAGCAGGAAATTGAACTTACTGAGTGTAGAAAAAGAAGACAAAGGGTCCATGTAAGGCCACAATCTCATACAGCAGTTGAACACAGCAAACAAAAGCAAAAGCCCTGTAAAGTAAAAGCCATAAAGGGCTAAGGTGCCTCCAGTGAGTAGCCCACAAATCACTGAGAAGCAAAGGCTCAGCCATTGATTTTCGGATAAATTTCACAGCGAAAACACAGGGAATGGCGATTGTCAGACCACAAACAGGCACTTGCCATCGGATCCAATACCGCCATCCTTCTTGGACAGGCGATTCGAACATTTCTGAGACAAATCGAAGACGAATCCGCCGACCCCTCGAGATGAAAATCCTTGAGGATTTTCGAAAGGGGTGTGGGAAATGGATGAAGAAGGGTGTGTTTGATATCAATAAACGCAGGAAGTTGCAATTCGTATACCCAATCAGTAGATTCAGCAGCTCTGTGCAATTGTCGCTTCCGTAGTGGTTGAACGGATTGGATTCCATTAATATAATTTATAACTTAATAATAATTTATTAAACAACTCACTACTAAAAAAAAATACTTCTGAACCTTTCATGATCAAGGTATCATTAGCCTTATTTTTTGGAATTTGACATTAGGAAGTGTTTGCACACCATTGACTTGCATCTACTCATCTCAATCTTGAAATAAGAGATCGACGATCATCTTCTGTTCTACGACTAGTAGGAGGTGAGAATGACTCTTACTCCTCCGTCCAAACTTGAGCTAGGTCAGTCATAGGGTTTTTCCAATCTAGTCTAGAATCAAGACAAACAAGCTTTCCCTTAACTACGTATAAGGTGTGTAAAGCCCTCACCGTGGTGGATGCATGCAAGAAAAACGATTTAAACTATATAAAATTTAGTTTGTATTAAGAAATAAAAATACATTACAAAAAATCTTCTATTCTCGAGCTTCAAGCCTAGTTGCATGTGACTAAGTTGAGAGGGATGTCGTTTGGTAAGTTTGGTGGTAGCTCGAGTCCATGGCTCTCTAATCTAAAAACTATATCCAAGCTACGTGGCTAGTTTGCATTCTCTGGACTTTTCAGACTTAGCGACTTGAAACATCAAAGTAATTATAGGAAGGGAAATCAGCCAAGACCCGTGGCGGGGAAATATGAGAACACCAGGCAGGATCTATCAGCAGCGAATTCCCCATACATCTCGAGATGCCTATCAAAAAGATACTCGGAAGGTTTCGGGATCAAGGAATCATTAGCCTGGTTTTTGGAATTCGACATCATGAAGTGTTTTCACGTTGTCTACGGACATCGACTCGTCTTAATCTTGAAGGAAGAGATCGATGATCCCAAGTTCTTATACTCCATTCAAAAAGTATTTTTCGTCAAACGATTCGTAGAAGATGAGAAGGGCTTTTACTACTCCATCCAAATTTGAGCTAGGTCAATCATGGGTTATTTAAAGCGTGGATCGTAGTGGATGTATGCACTCCCAACCATATGCCACTATTTAAAAGTATATAAACTTTAGTGGCCAACTAATGTCTAAAAATCCGCAGTAGCACAATTGATCAATTTCTTTGGGTGAAATACCGGGTTCAAATCCTGGCTGCGGAAGTCTTTTTTTTTTTTTTTTTTTTTTTTTTTCCTTGTACCAATTTGGGCTCGAAGAAATCCAAGAAAAGCCCATTTTTTTTTCTAATAAAAGAAAAGCCCAAGTTTAATTAATATATATTTATGAAACTATTGGTCAATGATCTCCATGGTTTTAGTTGCTAGTCATTAGTCATTGATCTTAGGTTTTGGTATTGATTTTCAATCCTAGTTCATTAATAATCAAGATTGGCAACAAAAATCGTTGACCGAGGACCAACTCTAACAATAGAAAGCATTTTAAGTATAGAACAAACCATATAATTTTGAATATAAATACAGTAATAAGAAAATGTAATGTTTTTAATTATAGTGTAAGATGGATTCCTTTCTTAACCATTTTGATGGTATATACAAAGTTAATAAAGTTTTTTATATATCTTACACAATAATAGTGCAACTGAAATCCGCAGTAGCTCAAATGGTAAATTTCAGTTGTGAAATTCCAGGTTCGAATCCTGGCTGCGGTAAAAAGTATTATTTTTTCTTTTTCCAATTTGGGCTTTTGGGCTTTCCCGAACAAATCCAATCTAATATATTTTATGGTGACCTTAAAAATTAAAATATTTTAACAATAAACAGACAAATATTCAAAATAGGAATCATAATTTTGAGAATATCCAAATGGGAGGAAAAATAAAGAAAATACATTAATTACCAAATTTGTAGTGATGGAAGACTTTTTTGATCAAATTATTCAAAAATAGTCTATTTATTGTAACCAGATAAAGAAAGATTCTCATGATCCAAAAAATCTTGCTTTATTAGCTTATTTTATTTATATATATTAAGGTTTTTTTTTTGGGAGATTTTAATTTTATAGACTTTATTGAAGTTTCTTTATTTTCTTTGGTTGTTGAAATAAATTAGGGTATATATATATAATGGTCCTAAATACCACTAGACAGAATTGTACATGAGATTTTTACTTAATACAGTTTCATGTCCTAAGAAAAAAAAAATAAGGATTTAGATATTAAAATTTATTATATTTATTTAAAAAGTTGATAAATATTAAAATAAAAATGATACATTAAATTATTTTTAAGTTTGAAGGCATTAATAATTTTTTTTTGAATATTTATTAAATACCAAACGAAATTTAAGGTATTTTTTTTTCTTATATTTTAATTTATAATATAGGCTCAAAATTGTTGATATGAAACAAAAAGAAAAGGGGAAATGAAGACATAAATAAAGACATGTATTATTAAAGGAATCCAAAAAGGTGCCTTTTTGTAAACATCATAAAATATATGCGCGTTTTGTGAATAAGAATAGTTATGGGGTCACAATTTTAATTACCCTCAAAATTGGGTACCCACTACCCAATCAATGCCGCACTTCACAGGAAAATCATTAATAAATAATAATAATAATAATAATAAAAGTTGGATTTATTCAAAACATCGGAAATTTCCTCTCTTTATTTTTCGAAATAAATAATTCAAATATCAAAGCTATGTGAATTTTATTTTCCCCCAAATTTCTAGGTCTGTTTTGAATAAGTATTATAATATTTAGTGGTTGGTGTAATTACTGTATTATTATTCTATAATTATTATATTTTAAAGTAGCGGTTCAAAAATAAATGCGCTATACCTACTAAATTGTGGTTATTTATTTATTTAAGAAAATATGTTTTGTCTTTCTCCTAATGACTTAAACTGTTTGGTCAATTTAAATTGTTTTTAACCAAAATTGAATTAATTAATACTATTAGATATGCTTAATCCAATGTCGAGCACTCGTATAAGTTGAGTTGGACGTTAAAGGACAGATTCAAATTAGTATTGAAAATAATTAGTAAAAGTTAATTATAGTGATTTTTTTAGTATATATATTAATAAAACTATATTAATAATTTATTTTCTTGTTAATGTTGTACCAATTATTTAAATTATTATACTAGAATTGTTAGACAATGAAAACAATTAAAAAAGGAAGTAGGTCCAATAACAAAATGTGAAAAGTAAGTTCCGTATGTCATTTATTTATTAATTAAAATAAAATAACAAAATTTTCAACCAATTTGGGAGTTTTAATTATTACACCCAATAAAACATGAACTATTTTTTAACTTTTATGGGAAATTACCCTTTTAGCCCTTATAATTTAAAAAAATTTTAAACTAATTTTTCTTGGAGGTCCATAATTTTTTAATAGCTTTTGGGTTATATACGATCAGATTAACTCGAAATCTTGGGTTAGTTGAGTCGGTGACTTGTACAATCCAAATAGAATTCACAACTTAATTCAATCCTCGGACTTTATTTTGAATTATGGTATAATTTTATTAATTTTTCTAAAGGACGGAGTAGAAAATTATGTGGTTTAGTCAATTGAGAGAAGTTTTGAAAGGTTTAAAACAGTTTGTTGTTTGGGGTTGGAAGTTGAAAGTTGAGAGAGGAGGAGGGTAAGAGAGACCCACCCATGGCCATTGGAAAAGAATGAGGGTAAAATGGTAATTTTGTACAGTTGGAAAAGATTGGAAAAGTGGGGATGGGGAGGTTTGAATGGTCAAAAAGGAAGAGACTGTGGAAAGAAGAGAAAAGTAAAAAAAAGAAGAATGGACATTAATTAATTAATTAATTAATTAATTAACAAATATATATATATATTATTATATATAAATAAATAAATAAAAATGAGAGCTTTGAATTCAGGTCTGTCGTTTCGTTGACTGGCAAAACAGCCAAAAAGCCGAAGGCAACACCATTATCCACCCAACTCACAGGCACCCATTTAACAAATACAAACAACCCCCCCCCAAAAAAGCATTATCATTCCTTCCCCTTTCTCTCTCTAAATCCCTTCTTTTATCTTTCCAATTTCTTCAAGGAAACCAGGAATTCCCCCATTTGCACACAGAACAATCCAAGTTTTTCTTCTTCTTCCATCGTCTTCTTCGTTTCTAAGAAGATCCGCTTGCAGAAACCCGTTTTTTGGACTTGGGTTTTGTCTAAAATTTCTCATCGGTAAAGGGTTTCTTCTGTTTTCCCCTCTTCTTTAATGGGTTTGATATTTTTCATCTTTTCTTTCTGAAATAGATCGTGGGTTTTGCTTTGTTCTGTTTTTTTCCCCCTTTCTCATTAGGGTTTGTTTGATTTCTGCATGTTGATTCTTTTCTTGTTCGTTTTCTCTGTTCTGAAGTTTGGGATTGCTTGAAAGTTTCGATTTCTGTGTTTGATTTTGACTGAATCTCGTCGGAATCAAATCTGGGTGACCTTGTATTTAGGTTTCTTTTTCTGTTTTACTTCTCGTGATCCGGCGGAGGCGATGGAATCGCCGCCAATGGCGGCGGATTTCCAGATTTCTGTCCTGGCCGGGGTTTAGCTAGGTTTTGCTTTTATCTGTCTCGTTTTTCGATTTTTCGGTTTTGGTTAGCTCTAGAGCTCTATGAAACGACATTAATGTTGGCTGATATGATGATGTATCCTTGTATGTTTATCCCCTTTTGATTGAAATTTCTCAAGACAAGAAGACCATATTTGCTGGTTAGGCTGTGGAACAACATGAACTTGTTGAATTTGCTCTCAAGAGGGTGTATTAATCTTATAATTTTTATGGGCTAGAGTTTTGTTCTGTTAAATTATCTGTATAATGTTAATTTTTTCTTCATCCCTTGACGTTTCTTGCTTACCTTTATAGGATGGTTCTCTGTTTTGTTGAACAAATTTCTTGGAATACTTTTGTACCTGTCCATGCTATTTGCTTCTTCTTACAGCTTTCCGACCGTTGCAGGTTACATCCATAGATAAGTGATTGTATTCCGAGATAAGTACGTGACGTTTGAAGGATATTTGCTGCATATACGTCGAAGCCAATGACATCGGTAAGTGTAGTTCCTGATTCTGTGA